CATTCTCACATATTGAGTCCATTTTCCCAAAGAATATTAGTAGCTTTCAAATTGCCCATGAACCTGCATATTTCCAATTAAAAGTCCATCAGAATATCTAGTGGCTAATCCACCACTCAAGTAAGTTTAGCGTCTTCTATGATAAATGTGCTATTACTTGAATGTGGGGATTCTAGGGACATCTGCGTCAGAGCTCATAGCTATACGATGACACCTCCGACACTGTTCAGCCTCCATCACCATCCTGTCTCACCCAGTGTTACTGCAACCTAAGGCGATGAAAGAAGCATTCGTTTCACAAAGTTTAAAACAAGTATTTCTAAAGCAATTGGAGAAGTTGGCTTTTGCCATCAGAAAGCATTCTAGATTTGTCACATATTATACTTGCAGCAGAGATGTGTTCCCTTTACTTACCCTTCATCCTCACACAGGAATCTTATCCCCATGAAACAAAAATACAGATAGATCTGTGATTGTCTTAGCTCTAAGTAAAGGCTCTGTCCTACCATATAGGTGTAAATTCTTTAAAGAGGTACCTAAATCATTCAAAGCCCCCAATTAACATCCAAAGACAGAGATAGAAATATTTGGAAGTGGGTCTGGATCATGTGATATACTGACTCTGAATGGCTTCTATCCATCAAGTAATAAGCAAAGAGCTATTCCAGTTGGCATATTCAATGCTTGAGTTACTTAGCTTTAAACATTTGTTAAATCTTTAAGTAAATGATGTGGTAGGGAACTACTTCACCATTTGCCTTCTGCAATCCACACTCAGGACTCTGTATCCACTACAAACACACACACACACACACACACACACATCACATCACATCATTGCATCACATGCAACTATTTTTTAAAGCGCTATTTCTTCTGGTGCCTTTTTGATAAACTATTTTGAAATGCTATGTCCTTGATGGTGGCCTCCATCCATCCAAATTCTTTCCTCTCCCCACTTTTCTTCCTATTATATTTGCCCTTGGTCATTATGAGACTTATCAAAAAGATGTCATAATCCTAGAAGAGAAAGGGAGAACTTATCTACTACAACAGTTCTCAAAACATTGCTCATCAAGTCACATTAAGATCTTTTGATAGATGCTGGAAGCTAGATGCTGTCCTCGTGCCCTACGCCAGTAAGATGTAATCAATAAAATAACTGAATGGAAAATGTAGAGTCTGTAGTTTCTGCTTAAAAAACTCCTACTTTTCTATACAAACCCAATTCTCCTCAGATTATGATAGCATCCAAGCTGAAAAAGGCAAAAAGCAATGGAAAGAAGGAGGAAGAAAGGGAAGAAGGAGAGAAAATGACAAAAGAAAAGAGGGGAGAGAAAGTGGGACACAAGAAAAATTGTGCATACAGTTTTAAACAAAGAAAAATTTAACAGTAAAATTATTCTGAAAAGTGTCAACTACATCTCTGCAAAAATGATAAAGTTTTATAAATCACTATGAGTAAGGCTAAACTTTTAAAAAGAAGAACAATCAATGAATGAAATAAACACAAAGTGAAGAAAAGGAAACATTCAGAAACATGAAAAAGTCTGAATACTAAATGGTTTTCAGCCATCCTGAGCTCAAGGACAAAAGCATTAGAGGCGGGGATTTGGGAGAACAACAAGTATAAAGCGATTGTAACAGCTCACTAATCTACACACTGCATGATTCAAAGAACATGATATCCAACCTCTATAATTTATTTGATGATTAAAATAATCATGTTTGACATCTTAAAATGTATAGCTGTCTCATGTTATTGCAATTTAAAAAATTAATCAGCTACCATCTGTTGAATTTACTGTGTTTATGGGAACTAAGGTGAAACTTAAGAATAGAAAAAGTCACAAATTTCGTCAGACAGCAAATGGTGTCAACTGGCCTTTCAGGTTCAGTGCCTGCTGAAGAGGTTCAATGCCCACTGAGTAGCAAAAATCCTTTTTCTGTTTAGTAGATATAGAAACATTTTTTAAAAATGCTAAGGAGCAGAAAGGAAAACAAAAAAACACTCCCTAGATCCAACTTTTGCCTCATAGGTATTTGTCTGGTAAGAAAAATATCAACAAGAAGCATTTAGGTTAAGTGTCTGCTTGACACTGTTTAACTATGTGCTCAGGATGGTTCCTTCTCTTCTCTGAGTTTCCTTATTAAAATGAGTGGGCTTCATTAGAATGCTGTCTGTTTCTAATTTAACATGGTAATTGAAAACTCACAGAAACAGATACTATGGTTCTCCACCCAGAATGCTCCCTCCCGAAGTCATTTAGGGATGAGGCATTGCTTCTTCCTTCACCTGTGGAGTGGTTAAAGTTCTTAAAAGCATCCCACTCTAGGAACTGACCTTGGTCAAAGAGATCCACCTACCTCATGATTACACCCCATTCCTGGGAGGAACTTGTATCCACTGAGTAGTTCAGTGAGAAACCTAAAGGCTAGGCCCCCTTAGCTCAGCCAGGACATCTCTACATGGTCACCTAAGCCCTACAGTTCCTCATGGAGTCAACTGAGGTCTCTGTAGCAACTGCAGCAGAGTTTAACTTCAGCCTCGGTCTGATCCTATTTCCTTTGGAAATTCCTTCGGGATTCCCCAACAGGTTGTAAGCCACAAAATGCCCCAATAAATTTCATGCCCAATAAATCTCCATCTCAGAGTCTGTTTCTTTAGGAAACTGCCATGGGACAGGCAATAAATCTCTGTTACTTCCGTGAAAAAAGCAGTGTATCGAGAGGTAGAAATGCTTCATTTTGAAATTTGGACTGTTGTTCTCAGTAATGAGGAATTATAAATCTGATACTCTTTCTAATAATTATTATATTTGTAGAAATGCTAAATATTATAAAATTATTTGTAAGGAATAAAAGGTAGGGACCTAGAAATACTACATGTTAAGATTGTCATTCACTCTTCTAACGGTAAAAAGTATGTATTATTCAAAATGTATACCATAATTTTTCCAAAAAAAGGACTGAATTTTTCTAACTCTTTGCTTCTCTACAAAAAATAAAGTCTAAAACCAGTAACTGACAGAGGGCTATAAAAATGGGAGAAAACTAAGCAAAACAATACACAGAGATTTTAGTAATAATAAAAGTGGTAAAAACAAAATAGTCTTAAGAACCAGAAAATTAAGTTAAGCACAAATAGAAAAAAGTACCAAATATTTTTTAAAACCCTCAGAATTAGGGAGAAAGAAAATTAAAACAAACCAGAATAAATGCCACTGCTCGACACTTTTAGGTCTCATACAGCTAAATTAAGGTTTTATATTTTTTCCTGAATTTGATAGTTTTTTTTTCATTGAAAGTTTCTTTCAAGAACTTTGGTAATTCTTTTTATTCTTTCCCCAGTTTCTTTCTTCTGTCCACATCTCTACTGTTTTCCCCTAACATGTAAATAAATGTGCACCTGCCCAGTACTAATACTTTCTAGTGAGATAAGCCACTAGAAAGCCATTTCTTTCTTATTGGAGTGTTTCCCCTGCTCACTTTAGAGTTTACAGAATCCCTCCTGCATAGGTCCATTTTTCTGCATTATTCAAATGAACTATCAGAGAAATCCTACACTGAAATTGACCTTGAGAAGACAATTAGCGGACAGATACGTATTCACTAACATATATTCAATCACCTCCTCCCAACTTCAGAAATGAACTTGTCTCCAAACAAAAGTAGATGTCTCAGAGATACTTCAACCTTGGCAACCATGGCATCATAGATCCTGGTAAAGTAGCAACAGCTGACTTAGTAGCTATGGAATCATTCTGCATCTGATCCCTGTCAGGATAACAGAAGGTCTTATTTATAGTCTCCTGCTTTGGTCCTTCCAAATAGGTACTGTTTTCTGTTTACTTATCCTCTAGCTTTGGGCCCTGGAACAATGTTGAACATAGTGTCACTGGCCCTGGTGCCAGGCAGGATCAGGGACTCTGGAATATTTACAGTTTCCTTTCTTATGCTTCCATAAAAGAAATGGACAGTCTGAATGAAGAAAATCAAGGGCCAGCTGGCTAAAAACACAACTGGCAGCAAGACACTTGGGCCTCTTCCAAGAGCTGGTGTTTAAAGAGAGGCCATTTAAAGAGCAAACTCCAACTATCACAATAACTACTCAGAACACTAGCCGTAAGAAAAGGCAGTAAAACCTTAGTAAAAACAATTTTCATTTCCACAGTTTGGAATCTGTTACACGCCTCCTTCGTCATAAAGAATTTACTAGTCTTGGAGTAAATCCCTTCAAACAGCTAATCCTCTACACGTACAAGTGACAAATATATACTGCAGACTGAAAATGTTAAACAGATTTCATGTCATGGTGCCCAAAGTCTTATTTTTTGCTTACATTCATTCATACAAAATAATAAAATTGTTAAGAAATTATGAAGGAAAAAAAGAAAAGAAATGATCTAAGAGTTTAGATGAAATAACCTGGAAGCCAGCCAAACACTTAAGCTAATTTGAGAGGTTACTAATATATTAGAAGGCCAACTGACAAAGAAAGATTTTCTTTTTCTCAAATTGTTACTCTAACTTTCCAATTAAGAAAAAATGTAATCATTTTCCTGGAGAAGGGGTAGATCACAGTGAAGCATTAGAAATCTAGTAGATAAATGCTTATTTTTTTCTTGCTAGGTTCTGATATGGGCCACCATGGTCCAGCCATTATTTAATCCTGGAATCTCTGTTGAGTGCCAAATCAAGAAATATACACAGCACCACATTCAGAGAGATAAATCTATAATCCAAACCGTTGCGTACATCATGAGATCATCATTTTCTTTTTCACATCCCAGGACCAGATGAATTTGAAAGTGATTTAGCAAGGCTGCCTCTTTTTTACATAGACACATAAATGCACAGAAGATTAGAAAGAAATGAACGAGGGGCCCAGAGAAAAAGCCAAGGGTCTCAGCAAGGAAGGTGGTCCACGCAAGTCCTTTGATGCCATAATCCTGGAAATGGATAAAGGCAGTGACCTAAGACCCCCTAGAAGGCATTACCTCGATATAGGGGATGATCTTGCAGGAAAAGTCCTCCAGCAGCCACTTCTTGGTCAGTTCGTGGAAGATGACAAGTGGAAGGCAGAAGAAGATGATGAGAAAGTCCCAGAAGGCCAGGTTGGCCAGGAGGGAGTTGGAGATGCTCCGCATGTAGTAGTTGTGACACACGATGCACATCACCGCCAGGTTGCCGATGATGCCCGTCCCGAAGATCACCACTGATAAACACATGACTGCGTAGGCTCCATAGGACTCCTGGGTCAGCGGGTAGAAGGGGTTCTTCAGTCTCGCGCGCCGGTTAGTGCTGTTCCCCCGGCGTGGACCCCCTAGCTCGTGGACATCTTCGCCCGAGGACCCATTCTGGGGTAGCGCCCTGCCCGGGGGTGCAAGTGTCCGCCCTTCATGCCCTGCGGGGGCACGGACCGACTCGGGTGGGGGCTTGTGGTGGGAGCCCCTGAGTTTCCCGGCTCTCTTAGGCCAGTAAAAAGGATCGCTGGCTCCGGGTTCCTGTTTCACGTTCTGCTCCTGACTATGCCAGGAAATGCTAGCGCCTCTGGAACTCCTCTCGTCCTCCCCTGAGGTCTGGAGGAGGAGTTGGAGGGCCTTGGGGTCCCCTCTCTCTAACTCGCCAGGGTGCTCCCGACCCCGGGCACTTCTCCTCCTCCCGGCGCCAGGTGGAGGTCCCGCGGGACCAGCCGCCGACGCCTCCGCCCCTGCCGCACCTGGGTCTCCGCCCGCGGCCGCCACGAGGTCCCGGGAGGGCGCTGCGCGCACCGCCGCCCCCGGCCGCGCCCAGGGCTCCCGGACGCCGAGAACGTCTCGTGCAGAACTTCCCGGTCCCCAAGCATCCCGGTGGCGGAGCTGAATCAGAGCGGGAGAACAGCTCTCCCCGGGACAAGTTTTGTTTCTGGGAGCAGGAGCAAAGCCGATTGCGGAAGAGACAGAGATTTTGAGCAGCAGCAACAGCAGCAGCCGCGACGCGCGAGCCAGGAGCGCGCCCCGGCCCCTCATGGTGGGCGAGGGCGCACCCGCAGCCTCGCTGGGCTGGGAACCTGCTCCTGCTCCTAACTTGCTGCTGTTAGACACATGTCATCGCCGGTGCCGGGATGGGGAGATGGGGACGGTCTCGGGGTCACACCCACCCTACCAGCCTGCCTCCTTTGGCGTCCTGTGCATTTCCCAGTCACATCCAGTCCAAGCTCTGTGCGCGCACAGGGTAGGCGAGGGAACGGCTGCTCCGGCTGGCTGACCTTGAAAAGTTGCAACCGACACCTGCTTGCTGATTAATGTTGCGACCGGGCGAGATCCGGCCGGAGCCCCCGCTGCTGCCCGGCTTCGGGCGGCGGCTGCCTTCTCCGGCGCAGTTGCGCTGCCTACTTACATCCCCTGGGCGCTGCTCACCCAGGGCCGAGCCGCGCGGAGAACGCGAGCAGCCCCCGCCCCGCCGCAGGAAACAGGTTGCCGTCGGACGCCGGGAGGTCCCGTCCCGCCCGAGCCCGGCGGCCCCCAGGCTCGGATGCCCAGCGGCCGGGTTCGGACCCGCGAGCCTGCCGAAGTTGCTCGTCCGCCAGCTCAGAGACGCCGGGCTCGGG